CCTATCGCAAAGCACGCCACGCCACTGCTTCTTCTGCCTCCAAAATAAAATTGCATGTTTAATTGGCGCACCGGATGATCAATAATTTACTCGGATTGGCCTACAGCCTTCGGTAATCAGATTTTACTCATTGCTGTTTATCAGCGGCTTTAGGAGCTGCTAAAAGAGTAAGTACTTAAACGAATTAAGTCAGTAGAGCTGAATGCAAGGCAAAATAGCTCCTCGTGTCCCAAATATACTTCTGTACATGACTAACCGTGAGTTTTATTCGGATCATTTTCAAAAGAAGAAGAAGAAGAAGAAAAAAAGATCAACATGGAAGTTGAATCACGCCCCAACGGTATTCGACAAAAGTTTGAAGTTACATACAGAAAGACTAAACAAAAATCATGGCTGGTTATGAACGATGTGCTGATTAACCTCCATATTGAATTAAATGTTCTTAACGGGTAGATCTAAGAAACAGATTGTCCCTTTCACGTGTAATTATATCGAAAATTTACACTTCATCTATAGCTATGGGCAACATGTCGAATGAATTGTCGAGCCTATAACCTTGCGTAATATTATTCGTCAGATGCTTTTTCTCCTACAAGCTCTGTCCGGACCGGACCAAGATACAGGATCTGTGCCTTTTTTCGAAATAAAAGTTAATTTTTCAAATAAATTGATACGAGAAAGATTGACATAATTTTTCTGAGTTATTCGAATAACCATTTCTCAGCCTTAATGCTGGACTCGATGGCGGAAGCGGTTTTCGTTATAAATCAGCTTTCGCAAACGCGACTTGCACACTGTGTGAATCAGTGGATATTGATCCCTAGCATCTAATTTTGATGAGCCGTGACATGCCAGCATATATGCGGGCCTCAGGGCTCATTCGACGGTCGATATAATCGGTTTCAACATCCATACGTGCACAAATCTGAGTTATCGTCGCATTAGCTTAATAAATCTCAGTATATGTCGAATGAGGCTGCGAATTTGAAATCTGAAAATTCATTACCTAAGCGACGACTAAAATTTGTTAAAGGCAGCAGCCAGCGAGGCGCAGTGCTGAGCTTCGGTCGAAGGCGCGCGCGTTTATCGGGCCAAGCGGCGACGCGCGGCGATTTGAATCAGGGCCGAATTTAAGTCGTTATTTGCCGGCCTTGGATTAAAACTTCCATGTTGCCAGATTTATTTATTTTCGGCTCGGAAATTTTACAATGAATGAATTAAAGGCACATCGAAACCGGTGTGCCAAGACATCTAACCGCTCTGAAATATTTTAGTCAATAATTTTCACAAAAGCGACTTCTCAGAGAATTTGATTTTTTTTTTTTTTTTTTTTGGGGGGGGGGGGCTAAAAAGGTCGTTAATTTTGCAAAATTTACAAAATTTAGCCTTTCAAAAACGCTGTCATAATCAAACTTTTAGATTCCAAGAGCAGTTGTAGTTCTTTAAAGTTTTCAAATACTTGAGTTAAAAAATCAAGAGTTCCAAAGAAATCATCATCGTTCTTCAAGTTAGCAGACGGATCCTAACACTTCGAAATGGGAGGGGGCTAAGAGCGGTTCGGGAGGCTACCCCCAAAAAATGCTCAACATTTTAATTAATCTATTATGCACCTCGAGTCCATTTCGCCATGGATAATTACCGAATCGAAGCGTCCTTCCTCCCTCTTTCCTCCGCTCCTTCCTTCTTCATTTTTCCCCGTTTTCTTTTCCCTTTACTTCGGGCAAATGGGCCGTAAATCCGCATATGCATCACTTTGACAAAACATCGTGAAATTCAAATACTGATCCGTTTTGATGATTTAGGAAAGGAGCAAAACGCTATGAGGCAATGGGTCGCTAAGAAATTACTCTTCACAAAATTATTAGCTTAATCGACGAGAATATTTCTTTATTTCATGATACCTATCTCTCTGAAAGTTCTCAGAAAATTCTCTCTTTTCCTCCGATGATATTTTTTTAAATTTATCAATTTGAAAAGAGGGAGAACATTTTTCAATATTATCTTGGAAAATTTTCGAAGGATTGTAATGGAATCTTGACTTTTTAACGTTCAAAGTATTTTATTGGCAACACCTCTTCCGCATGAGATTTGGAGGCTCGCTCATTGAGTCTTCATGTTGGCGCGGGCAGAAATAATAATGCTAATTGAGCACTTATCCATAGGCCGACATTGAGAAAGGCCCTATTAATAACGATTTGTTTACGCGTCCTCTCAAGCTACGACTCATGTGAAATATTGCGTTATTCACGTAAGCCCAGTAATGTTTTTTACTCGACACTCTGACTGCGACCTGAATGAGAATAGTTATACTTAATTATCTAGGAAATTTCTGATGAAACGATGTTCATATTACTAAGAATCGAGTGATTTTGAGTCAAACTATACCAATACGTCTCGTCAAAGACCGACTGAGTACTTTTTTAACGGAATTAAGATGTCCACATTTTGTTACATGCGGCGTTGCGAGGTGAGAGGGTACTAAAATACACGTTTCGTAACAATGGAATAAATATAAAATTGAAAAAAAGGGGGAGGGGTAAACTTTTGGGGTGGATCAAATTGGCGGGCCACAGTTTATCGAAAAACCAATAGAGAGAGGAAGTGGGTAAGTACAGTAGGCACCAAGGGGAACGAGAGGATAAAAATGCGTTACACATAGAACTAAAAAGCTCTTTTGGCCTCTCACGCTTACAGCGTACACGCACAACGACACGTTTTGGTGGGAATGAAATTAAAGAGAGAAAGCAGAAGCCACGATTAATGCTTACTGCCATGTAAAAGAACGGCTCAAAATGAACATTTGGATGATGCCAAATTTGTTAGATAAAATGTAAATCCTCTATAAAACTTGTACATGTTCCCTCTAAAACGTTCATAGAAGCTCGTAATGCAGTGACTGTGAAAATATTCCTAACTTTCCTCAAAAATAAAGATTTTTTTGGGAAATTTAGCGGCATTCAAATGTTCACATGCCGCTTGAGGGAAGAACACTGTATGAGCAGTCTAGACACGCCAGTCTAGACGCCAGGCTGCCGTGCCACTCTAGCACGGCATGTGTCTAGACTAGACCTCATACACAACGACACATTTTTGTGGGAAAGAAATGAAAAGGAGAATGCAGAAACTACGCTTAAAAAAATTGGAATAGTATCAAAAATGAGAGGAAAATTAACGAAAGTGAACAGAAGGGAGGCAGTACTCGATCATCAATCCTTTCTCATGCACTTTGGAAAAATAATTATAATAAATAATTTTTCGGTAACACGAAGGGCTCGGTGATTATTTGGAGGAATTCCATACGCATCACTTTGCAGATGGCTTCTTCCTCTGAAATACTTCGGCTCTTCTTGCATTCAGAAGAGGAGGACCAACTTATTAGAGACTCAATAGATATAACAGTGTTTGCAGAAAAATGGGGTAAAGTAGAAGAAGAAAATAGTTAGAGGACAAAACAGAAAAGAGATAAAAGAAGAAGAAGTAATTATTTTGAAGGAAAAAGAAGAGAGAAAAATGCTGATGAAAAGAGGAAGAAAAGATAAACATTGTTCAAAATGGAAAAATAGATCACAAATAGAAAAACTTGAACTGATCGGCTTCGATTCGATCGACATAAATGTGATGGGCAAATAAAAAAAAAAGTTTCGTTTTTACTTTTTGATCGAGATATGTTTATCGAAACGATTGAAAAATAATTAAATACCTTATCACTGTTAACCTATTTAATATACGATTATCAGCGGAAAAAAAAGGAAGCTGTTTTCTGTTCTTCCTTTTAAGAGAGAAACTTGAGAAAATACGAGAATTTAAGTAAAAATTAATCTAGATACAGTTAATCTTAAAGTGTACAAACCAATGTTGTGTTGGGCCCATATGAAGTTAGAATTCTTGATTAGAAGTTCTTCACAAAGAAGAAATTCTTCAAGAAGTTCTTCATCAGTACCTTATTGTAAGCACTCAGCATGCCCTCGTAAAATAGAAAAAAGATAATAATTGAGATAGTGTCATTTAAATTGAAAGACTCTATCTCACGCCGATAACAAAATCTGCGCGCAGTGTTACGAGAAATGAAAATTGTTTAACTACCGGTCGTTAAAAAGTCATTTAACATTTTAGGATGCTCGCGTTAAAACAGCCTCACTCCATCATTAAGGTATTCCAAAGGACGCAAAAACATTAAAATAATTTCGCGAATTAGTACACTTTTGAATTCCTTTTTACCTGATTTAATTTTTTTTAATTTTCAATCACTGCGCGCAACAACACTTCGTCTATACGTAATTATTTATTCAGACTGGCACGTGGAGCGTGTATGAGGCTCCTAGCGAGAAACCTCTCCCCATTTCACTCGAAAATAGAGGCTAATTAGTATTTTTCAATAAAATGTTGCACTTCAGCTCAGTCCCTTTTGAATACAGGAGCCAACGCATCAATTTCAAAATTTTAGCCCCAGCCTTTTTGGGACTCGCACGCCGCACAGTGGATCAAGTCAATAGGAGAAGGCGGACAATCTGGCAATTTTGAAAGCTTATATTATGAAAGTATGAAGCAAGAAATTTCAAGAGTGGCTCCATTGGTTTTCTAATGAAATTTCTTTTCAGAAGCTGCCCTCGAAATTGAATTTGTGACAAAATAAACATCAAAATTTGAAATTTGTATGTCCATCCTCTTCTATAAGCTCGTTCTACTGTGCGCCGCTAATATCCAGCAATTTTCATTACGATTTATAAANAAAGTGTGGCCACCGCCGGACGGAGAAAATGGGCGCCATTTTGAGATGGGCCAAGCGGCGCGCGTTTAAATGGGAGCCCAAAATACGGACTTTTGGACTCGTATTTCGTGGGTTAATATTGCTCAAAAAAATCGGGGAAAATTCCTGTGAACTCTGTGCACTCTCTAGTTTCCAAAAATGCAAGAATTACGAATTGCTGAACAAGCTCATTCTCATTACGATTTATAAAAATCCGTCCAACTCAACAATTTGAAAAAAATAGGTTCCTTACCTGTGTGTGTTCTCATGTGAGCTTTGAGGTGCGAGGACTTGAAATAGTTCTTCCCGCAATTCTCGTAGTGGCACTCGAAGACACGCCTCCTGGGATCCAAGTTCTGAGCGCCCCTTTCTCTGCGAGATGCGAGAGGGGCGCCCAGGGGGGCTGGAGCCGCGGGGGGTGCCACGAAGACGAAGGGCGAGTTCTCGGCGGGAGGGGCGAAGAGGATAGGGCGACGGTTCGGGTCGAGGGGGATCAGGGTGCCCCCGGTTAATATCACAGTCTGCGCGGGGCTGAGCGGCAAAAACGGCCTGGGGGCGATTGGCAGCGTTTTTGGCCCGCTGCTCCGATCTTCTTCTGACTCTCCGTCGGCCCTATCGCGATTCGTATCTTTGCTGTTGATGAACACCTGAAACACATCATTTTCCATTAATTAACAAAAAAAACAAAAAAAACAAAAAAATTAAATTATCGACACGGAGGTGGTTTTGCTAGTTGGCAACATTGGTTTCTTTCCCTGCGTTTTAAGTAGAGTACCCGTAAAGTAATGCCATTTCAATCATTTTACTACAGAAAAAAGATGCCCCTCTCTAATTGGTCGGCTATCGTGGAGCCCCAAACTTGGACCAATGTAAACAAACCTCAGCTCCTCTGCTCCTAGTTTGGCCCGATGTAAACAAACAAGACGAGGACAACGTTTCTACAAAGTTCTAGGCGTGATTTTGGATCTGATAGAAATTTTCTCACATCCAACTTCTGAATCGAGTCCGGATCCGGTAATCCAGGACTGCGCGAAAGGTGTAAAATCATTTACGAGATCGCGAACAGAAACCTAAACATCTGCTCCAGGAATGCGCGAATTTAAAATGAAGTTAATTTAAGGTAGAAGTTTGGAAAACCAGGGAAACAGTTGGAAAACAGACGCATTTTTATGTTAATGCTAGTTTAAGTTAGTTTATTGACAAGTCATCGATGTATTACCTTCTAATGATAAATGAAGTGGAAAGATTGAATAATGGTCGTGGGTATGGAGAACTTTTCTAACTTTTCTCGGAAAAAATATATTATCGGGAGAAACAAAACATAGGTCTTTTGAGTTCCATTATTCGATGCCACGGTTATTCTAACGTGAGTTCGAATAATCTCGCCGGACACAGTGCGGCCGGCGTTAAAGGTGTATTAGCGCCTGCAAGACTTTATGAATACTTCACGCATTGCGCCAAACAGTGCGGTCGGTTTCAAACCCATATTAGCGCCTACAAGACTGCGCGAATACTTCTCGCATTGCACCTATCGCAGTGCAGACGGTCAGTTGGCATGAAACGCATATTTGCATAAACGCATATACTTGTAGTTTTTTTCAGTGGTTGGCAGCCGCGTAGCGGCCACTTGCCCCCAGTTTACTTTTTAGTTGCCTATGAAAGCTTTTTGGGCCATTCGTGCTGTCCATCGAAGAGAGGAATGTCCACAAGTAAGGGGGACGAACAATCTTCCGCGATATAGTTATCAACCACAAACTACCAAGGTTGCTAGATTAACGCTTCCTCGTTGAGTATCGAATATTCGCGCAAACATGTGATTTTCAGTACCGGCAAAATTCGCGCTATCCCATGCATCTCCAAAAAGGTAAAAAAGGGACAATCGCTCAATCCTATCGCAGCCTCCGAATTGTACTCCGATGAATATTTTGCCAAAAATTAACCTTTGAGTGTGATCATCATTCATTTCTCAGCCGATAATACGCTTTCTTCTGGGTCGGGTTTGTTTACATTTGGCCAACTTTGGAGCTCCTTTCGTATGGACGATTTAAACATTCAAAGTTGTGAATTTTCTCTCCCATTTTTTCCCTCAAGTTTTAATATTTTTATGTATTTGACGTATATTTTTCCTCTTGAATGGAAAAATTCCCATAAAAATTCCTGTACCCGCATGTAACGTAAGTCATTCACTTAAGGGAAAAATGTGAACACGCTCATATAAACTGCGGGAAAAAGAACCACATCAAATAGACCTTGCTTCCGGTTATATTTAAATACTTCCTTATTCAGAAATGCAGACGAATTGAATCGTAGTTTCTCAGTTTTCTTCCAAGTAAAGGGGAGAGGGAGGGGGAAGAGTGTGGAGAGGGGGAGTAACTATTCTGCGAGGAAAGTTTTTTAAAAACTTCTTCGACGGAGTGTGTGACTTAGGTGTCCCCGATTTTGAGACTTTTCTACTGTTGTGCTGAGGAAGAACGCCGTATGAACATTCGAGAGTTGCCAACTTTCGCCACGGAAAATATTCATTTTTGAAGAAAGTTATTAATATTTCTCCTTGACATTTTCAGACTTTTTAGATCAATTTGCAAACTAAATTACCTGAGAAATCAGACGAAAGATATTCACAAATGATCTTGAAAACTGGTGATTTTTCAAAGGAAATTCGGTTACCCCTGAAGGTTCATACGGTGTTTTTCCTTGGCACGACAGTCTAGATAGAGTTAATTTTTTCTCATTTTTCGTTTTCCCCATAAAAATTATAATGCATGGTACAATTGGATCGCATTCAGCAAAAAGGAACCAGCGCGATTACAGTGTTGTAAAAATGTTACTTTCTTTATGATTTTCTACAAAAATTCCGAGGATAGCAAATGGTTTTTACTTCCCATCAAAAAATTGTTAATTGTAGAGAAAAATAATTGTGTACATTTTAATACTGTGTACATATATGGAGCATTTTCATGAGAAAAGAAAACGTTCCACAATTTTATCACACTGTAATAACGCTGGTTCCTTTTTGCTAAATGCGATCCAATTCTGCATGTGTGCTTTTGGTTGCCTCACCTTTGCAGTGCCTTTGGGCCGCCATGAAATATTCACTATAAAGTATGACGCAGGTTTATCGCATTTGAGACTAACGCGGATCTATAGATCGTATTCGATACACCAAACAGGTGAGATTGTATCGATATCGATTGGTTCAAAACATAAACAGAGCCTCAAAAGTCAATTTAGAAATCGGAGGGAACGGGTATTTTGTAACAGATGTTTTATTTTTTGGAGTACCAAATGCCAATTCAAAACGAAATTGTTAGAAATTTTCTCATTTTCAGCTTTTCCAACTTAAATCCTAATAGTTTGGTTTGAGGTTATGTTCTATTGTTTTGAACCAAACGATACATCGAACCATTATCAAATACGGTCTACTTGTATTTTTTTTAAAGTGCTCACCTCTTCTTTGCCGGTGTTCATTTTGTAACGGATGCTCTTGAGCGGGTTGATCTCCAGGTGGTTCGGCACCGGCTTAAAGAGGCCCGGACTGGATCGGGGACTAAAATCAGGGCCCCCTCCGGAGGCGGAAGAGGGGGCGTAGGTGCAATTGAGGGGCGAATGTCGCTCCGGCTCCGGCGAGGAGGGCTCTGGAGAGCAGCTCCCGTCCTTGTGGGCTCGCATGATGACGGAAACGGGCACTGACGTCACTTTGGCCTCGCAGGAGGTCGGTGAGTGCGGTGGGGTCGCCGACATGATTGGCTGCAACGAAACAGGAAACTTGTTGAAATTACCTAGTTGCTATAACGAGTGAATAAATACAGACGATAAATGTATCTTATTTTATTTTTTGTCGCGGTTGATATACCACTCCCTCCTGAGGAGTCGTCCTAAAGAGAAGAAGAGACAAAAAACTGCAACGAGGAATGTCTGCTTTCAATGAATATAATTGGATTGCATTTTGCAAAAAGGAACCACTAGCATTGCAATGTTGCTAAGATTGTGCAACTTCTCTTGTCTTGGAGGAAAAACCCGATTATCCATTGATAGTTTCTATTTTACTCGCTAAAAACTGTGAATTTAAGACAAAATTACCATCTAAATTTCATAGTTTTTCACGATTTCCGCAATTTCATTGCAAAGTATGAAGTTGCACAATCTTAGCATCATTGCAATGCTAGTGGTTTCTTTTTGCAAAAAGCAATCCAATTCAGAATGTGCCAGTTGCGCTGGTCACAGAATTTTGGCTGGCGTCCAGCGTTGCGTCGCGTCGGCTTCGTATGGCTCCTTCAAAATCTAAAGAGCTTGACGCTTCCTTTCGGATATGGAAAGGCAGCCATAGTTTCACCCTACCGTTCCAAGGCTGGATGTTGCTTTAATAACGGGTCGGTTGTGCTGGTCACAAAATTGTGTTTTGATGCTTGATTCCTGTAGATTAGCTAAAAATAACCAGATACGTCCAGACAGCAACTTTCTACGTTCAATATTAACCGAGATATCACGCTTTGAAAATTTTGGTTTATGACGTCATCCCCCGCGGTAGTGACGCCCTCGGTTTCTTCAACCTTGCTTTCATTTGTCAGGGAGACATAAATTTTTACTGGTTACTCGACGTGAAAGTCGGATGAAAACTAGAAGAGGAGAAACCAAGGGTGTCACTGCCGCGGTGGATGACTCATAAACCAAATTTTTCAAAGCGCCATACCTTGGTTCATATTGAACGTTGACATTTGCTGTTTGGTCACAGGTCTACTTATTTTTATCTGATCTAAAAGAATCAATCATCAAAACACGATTCTGCGACCAGCGTAACTGATCCGCATTTTATCACGTAACAAAATATTTTGAGTTCACGATGATTCCGGGCTTGTCAAATTCATGGCTCAATGATTATGTGTTTTTCGACAGATCCAAATTTGAAGCTTTCAGAAGAGTGGGATATGCCAAATTTAGGTTTATGTGGATAAGGATTTGAAGAACGAACCTCGGATGACCTGAAAGCCTTCGCAGAGAGAACATAGTCACTTGAAAATTCGCTTGTTCTGATCGGCTCAGCTACCTTAACTTTTCGATAAGTTGATGACACATCTACGGTGAAATGTTCAAACCTCATATCTCGAATGCGGTACGTTAAAATCTTCTATTGAAATTTTTTATTGATTTAATTTTTACGCAGAAGGAGTCATCATCATTCCTTGAAATCTTTACTGCATATTCTTAAGATAAATCACGGAAGTTCTCAAAGCACATATTACCCATAATTTGTGTTTTACCGAGAAAATAAATATGAAAAGGAGTTATGACGCCGAAGAATGACACATGTGGTTTGAAAATTTCACCGTTAACATACAACTAAAAAATTGGAGAATCTTTCGATAATCCTCACTAGAAATTCAAGATGGAGGCTGTAGTGGAGTAAAGAGATAAAATTCGACTAAAGGGTTGATTCTTACTTGAGCAAGCTTCTTTCCATAGTCAACATCCATCTCATCTCCTTCCGAGTCGGATGGTTGAGGAGTTAGACTGAGAGGTGACGACTGCGGAAGATCAAAACATCTGGGGTAATTTCGAGTACACAGGTCCATTCCTTTCAGGTAACGAGACCGACTGCAGTCAGTCATCATTAGAGCGCCTTCGCTAGTATCAATAGTGAGCACCATCTTCAACTTTTAATATATCATCTGAAACAAATTGAAATGATTTTTAAACATTACTTTTTAGGAAAGCTTAAAAGAGATGGCGTAAAATATCATAAAGTCAACGAAATGTTCGCGGATGGGACGGAGCGCCTTCAAAAAAGCGCCATTGGTGGTAACGTGCCGCTTAGATACAACTATTCCTGCTTGAGGGATAGCCATGTTGCATACGAAAAGCAATGAAGGCGCTCTGGATTAATTTGCCAGTGGTTACGCCGGGGTGGCTTTTCGATAGATTTTGAGGGATGCTACATGGATTTATTGGAGTTCTGATAATCACCAGGAATATAAATTTATTGTATTAAACATTTTGTTTATCATTTTCTATTTTTAACCTGCGTTGTTCTACAACTACATGCCGTCTTTTAAAAAGGATGCTTTGGTCCCTCTTCCTTTAAAATAGTTTCCAAAGCTGTTGAGAAAAGCAACAGAAAAAAAGCCTGTGAAATTCCGCCAAATTTGTGTGTAGTATATATTCATGGAGAACTTCCATATTGTGCACTTATTAACTACTGAAACTTTTCGCTTCCCTTAATTTAACAATCTGAATTTTTGTAAATGCACCTATCTTTTATATTCTTTGTAAAGACGTTAAAAGCCTCAGATGCTGAATGTCTATAAATAAATTAACTAATAAACTAACTAATTAACTTATTAAAGAAAACAAATATGAAATTAAGATTACAGCCGATCTAAGCCAGGAAAAATTATTTAAGGTGTAATTTCGACTATCCTACAGGATGCTATTATAAATTAGTTCAGTAAACTATCGCAATTATTTTGGTCAAGTATCAAACACCATAAAAGGTTGGTCAGAAATTATCACCACACTTTTTCATCAAGCGGGTATTTCCACGAAAGAGAAAAAAATGTAAACATCTCAGACAGACGAGCTTTTAAAAATCACAAATTTATTATTTGGTTTTTAGGTATACATTAGGTGCACTGAGTTCTAGTTCCTCTAAGTTACGTTTTAATGCACGAACATCAGCAGAACTTACGTCGCAAAGTTCCAACGAACCTGTTTAAAGCTAAGTTAAAAATCACACGATGAACATCACGGGACCACGTGGTTTGCTGAACAGGTAAATAGAGCCTACGTAAAAAGCTGATGACAGACTTCTGAGAACTTTTTGTCATTTTTTAGGATACTTTCTACCTAATCCGCGCACCAGAAATTTAACACATGCGGGAAAGTCACAAAACCAGAAAATTTGTAGCATCGACACGTACATTGCGTCTTTGGTTGAGAAAAATATTATTAATTTTATTTTCTGATAGATCAAAATCATACAGGTGCACACTTTCGAATAATACACAGGTTCACAAATAAAATTCGTATTAAAAAAGAGGTAAAAATCTCAGACAAGTAACTATGGTGGATCGTTAGACCTGGACCCGGATATAAATTTCGTTTTTCCCATCACGTGAGCATTTTCCAGGAAATCTAAGTATTTCCGGACAAACGAGCTTTTCCGGAAAAAAGTGGACTACCTAGAAAAGCCTTATAATCGGGGATAAACAGGAGTCATATTCGGATTCAGCACTGAAATTTCGTTGCGGATCACAAACTGAAATTCTTTTATCACTTCGGCTTAAGGCCTGCGTTACCAGGCCCGTTGCGGCGCGGGGCACTAATTGGACACCCCCGCACGGAGCGCTATAATTCTGAACGGCTCCACCTTCTTTCTGACTCGACTTTTTTCCTTGGAAAGTATATCAGTGGGTGTTGGGTACCGAAATTCGAGCAATCCCAAGTCCCTCATCAAATAATAGTGCCTTTTCGTGATTTATGTCATGCTTTCATTGGCATTTTTTGGATGCTCGGAAAATGGAACAGACTGTGTGGTAACAGAAATTTGTGCGGCATAAGATTACAGCTCCTTCCTTGTTTTTCCCAAAATCGCTTAAGTTAGGATGATGGAAGGAGGCGCGCGCTCATAGAATTTATTATATTGTTTTTTATTGTTTATAGACTCTTATTTTTTAAAATTTTTTTTTTACCGAGTTCTATATGATTATCATTTTTTTTTATCGTAAACCATTGGAGGAATCTCGGGACCTGTTTAAGTAGGTGAGAGTGGACAAAAAATGTGCTGTTTGCGTGAGTGACAATGTAGTATTTGTAGGGTATCTAAAATTTGATGCATTTCATATTTAAGTATTAAGAACTACTGACTGGACTTACCCAGAGGCGGATCCAGAAATTTGGCAACACCGGATACCCTCCATTTAAACTTATGCTAAATAAACGATTCTTCTCGGAGCACCTGGCCCCTCAGAGAATCGATACATTTCCATAGGTTTAAGCGGAAAAAAGACAATGTTGCCAATTTGCTGGATCCGCCAATGGACTTAGCATAAAGTGTACTCTTGGTTTCTAAATTGAACAATTATTGGAGGAGATTTGACCTCGAGTCGAATCTGCTAATATACTAGGGTTTAATTGGAAAATGCCGCCAGATAACGTCACTAGGGGATACATTTTCACACTTTTAAATCTGTTTGCCTACAATCTCACACACCAGAAAATATTATAAAAAATGATGCGAAATCAGGTCAATGGACTATTAAAAACGTCTTTGATACTTTGTCGACAAATCTTGTCACAGGCAAAAGTAGTAACGCCATAGTAGAGCCGGTTATTCTTACTAACGCATTGGAATGGAGATGTTGCATGTGTGAGGGATTTGCGATTTGACTGTTGATTCTAAAGTAAAAGTTCGTGAGAAACACGATGGTGCCACTGATTTTCTCTGAAATCAACTCCCAAGCTCAAAAAAAGCTCTCAAGTTGAGGCCAAAATGGAGGGGATATCCCACCCTACCCTGAGAGTCCACATCTACATCAAGACAAACTCTCCATGCAAATAGGGAGAAAATACATTGACAGGGCTGCCAGTTTATTTGGGGACTCCAAAACTGAAAACACGCGCAACCCTGCTAATGTGTTTGCTCCCTATCTTTGCATGGAGAGTTTATTTTGATGTAGAGGTGAACTCTCAGGGTAGGGTGGGATATCCCCTCCATTTTGGCCTCAACTTGAGAGCTTTTTTTGAGCTTGGGAGTTGATTTCAGAAAGAAAACCAGTAGCACCACCGTGTTTCTCGCGAACTTTTACGTATGAATCAACAGTCAAAGCGCGAATTCCTCACACATGCAACATCTCCATTTCATGGTGACAGTGACACATTTTCACTAAAAAGACTATGGGTTAATCAGAATCTCGTTCGTCGACTAATTTTTTCCGAAGTCCTCTCGCGCAGTTTCTTGTTCCAAGCGACAGTGATTTTAAATTGCGCACAAGCATCTTCATTCCAATCGGATCACTCAGCAGGGAAGGGGCCACAACTCCAACCTTGCGTCAGATCACGGTGCATTGGATGCATTTGACGCGCGGGGGCACGTTGCGGGTGTATCGGCATCGGCTAGACCCGGCGCACGGTGGATCGAGTCAATTGGAGAGGTCGGACAAAACGTGGAAACTCTAAAAGCTTACAACTCGGTTTTTACAAAATTTCGAGATTTTAAAAGTAGGTCCATTGGTTTCCTCGTAAAATTTTCTGATAGAAGCACCCCTAAAAATGCAAAATTAAACATCAAAATTTGCAGTTTGAGTCAAAAATGTTATGTCGGACCTCTCTGATTGACTCGATCCACTGTGCGGCGCGGCGTGCGCGTGCGGGCGTGAAAATCGTCAACCAGACGAGCCGAGCCGAACCGAGCGACAAGTCGCATGGGTGGTTGAGTTGCCAGATTGGCAGTGGAAATCACCGATTTTAATGATGGGAAATTGGAGGAATATGCATAGCCAACGTCTCTGGCAGTCTGTGACGTCATGGCTGGGCGCGTCCACGCGTCAGATACGCGGTGATCACGTGATCGTGTTCGCGCGCCGATCCGCTCGCTGAGAAAAGTGCTCTGACAAAACAAACGGGTTCACAGCAGGTCATTATCTACAAATATATATTTTTTAAACTTATTCATTCCCATACACTGTTCCCAATGTCTTCGGTAGTTTTTTCGAAGGAACCCGGTCAACGTCACATCTGGCGATCAAATTTATCTGTTTGACGTCGAGGTGTTTGAACTCGGAGCGCGCGGTAGTGGCGATTTTGCAAGTTGGCAATACTGTGTTTCCTCCGTTTAGATCAATTAAAAATATCGATTTTTAGCTGAGGCTAGCTGCCTGACCAAGAATGAATTGATTTACATACTTTGTACATTACTACGTACAACTGGACACAACTTACATACTACAACTGGAGGAAAATCAGAGTTGCCAACTTTCAAGAATCGCCACTGGCGCGCAGATTATTGTTTCAAACACACCTATTACACACATACACACATTATTATTTAATGACAAATTCAAATACATGATGTAGCCATACTTAAATGTTATAATCGAGTATTTGACGTATTCGATCGGAAAATATCTGACCGTTGCGTTGTTGGCGAGAGCTCAAATTTTCTAGAGGAATATCCGAGTCGGAATTGGACTGAAAATCACTTTTTAAATGTTTTCAAAAGAATAAAATCTTGAAAAAATGCCATTACATTATTCCACCAATAGTGGAATGGGTGAGACATTTGAGTAATTTCAAGTTAGCTCTGGGTTAAACTTCTGAAGCTGACCTTGCTAGACTGTTCCCATACAAAAAAACTTCCCGGTAATATTTTTCACGCCAACTGATAAAAAAAAACATGCATAGGTTGTTTCTGAACTTCCCCGTGGTACTGAAACTTTCCCGCGGTATTCCATAAAGCTTAACCTTTAAGACTATCAGCACCGTTCCGGTCCGCTGTAAACTTGCAGGTTTGAAAGGGTTTTTTTTTTGTAAATTCTAAATGGATTAATGCATTTCTAGTTCTACCTTCCTCGCTTAAAAGTTCCCATCACCGAATTTGGACTGTAAAAAACTGGTGAAAAAGTTGAAAAAGGTCGACTGGTGAAAAGGATCTAAGGATCATTGACTCCTCAAA